CTTCGAAGGGTTTGCAAAACCATTTCAGCAATATCAATGCGTAGAAAAGTAATCGAAGATATAGTAGCGAAATTCCGATCAAAAAACGTGAAATGGTAAAGAAAATTGGAATTTAAGTCCTTTTCTCTGTAGTGGATGCCAAAACTATTTTCGATGTGGATGTGTCAAGTGAAACATATATCTTTCTATCCCTTTAAGTTTGTATTTACTTTCACTACCTTTTCTCACTGACATGTTCATCTAGAATAGGAAGAAAACGAAGGGATGAACCGAGCTGCCAATCCGCTGTGCTTAAAAACTTCTGCTAAACTGGAGCATATTTGATCACACCGTGACCCATGTCGTTTACAGTTATGTTATGTTGTAATCCATAGAATAGAGGCAAGCAAATTGGGAAGAATCCCCGCATACGCTAGAAAAAGGGATGACAAGGGTGAGACGCGCAACCGCGTCTCAATGTCCAACGAGGTGCGCAAAGTGAGACGCGTTACCGCGTCTCAATGTCGTCAATGTGTTAAACACATTCGGACGCTTAAACTAATCTATGAACTGGCACAGCCATCTACCATATCAACATTTCCAAAATTTTTAGGTGGTCGATCCTGGAGCATTAAATCTGAGAACTCCTCGTCCAAAGTATGACTTGTCGTAGTGCGCATGCATTATTGTACTGAGAATATTATCAAGGAAACTCAGGGGCGGATTTCACTATGAAAAGGCAGTAATTAGAGATAAGGATAGAGGTGGTCAGTGGTGCAAAGATGAAGAAAAAACCAGGAGAAAAGGCCCAAAACCCAAGAAATGGGGACCCTTCCTTGCCCATAGGTTTCCACTGCTACGACTCTCATCGGTGCTGCCTTCGTTAGCGCTAACGCTCTCTGCTTAGCGGCTAGAGGGTCAAGTAGCGAGACTACGTACCGCGCCGATAGTGCGCTGATAGCGAGGAGGGCCACGCTAAATCGTCGAGAGGTATATCCTTGCTTTCCACCGTGGTAAGTTCGCTCTTCTCAGACCTTCGACCTCATCATGGAATGCCTCAACGGAACAACGAATAGAAAGATACGATTCAAAGTGTCCTTTACATTTTGCGGGAACGTAGAAAATATAAGGAATTCGACGACCGGCCTGGAATGATCTCCGTTTACACAAAGGATTTATAGGAGATATAAAACACCTAAGATAGTATGGAAACGGAAAACGGTTATGGGGCACCGAAAGTATGAAACGGGAAAACGGTTATGGGGCACCGACCGGCTATGACGAACCGCATAAAAGCATGCAAGGCCAACGTCCCAAATTGGTGTGATAAATCACACATAATGGCCTCGTTTAGTTTCCGGCATTTATCCACGTACATGGAGGCCATAAGAAATGATTGGCAGTTTCCGATGTCGTGAGCGAAGAGCGCTCTGTCAAACCCTTGCTCAGTCCACATTATCACCTTTCTTGAAGGAAGTGGTTATGATAATTTCAAGAAGGTTTATATAGGAGACTGCGGAAAATCTTAAAAAAAGGCGGAAAACAGGACTTCTTTTATTTGCAGTTGGTTTTCACTCACGAACAGTATAACAGTCAAAGTCGGACGTAATGAAGGTTCATCGCAAACACGTTTTTGAGACAGCATGCCAGTTCATGCACCAATCGAGTTACATCAGTTGTGCCGCTGCTGGCAAAGCAGCTTGTTCAAACCACCAAGTAAACAAGTGGGCCGACCGCTTCTGGGGCGGAGTGCTTTCGAAGTCCTGCTCAGCAACCAGCGCACCTTTCGTCGTGAAAGCGCCACACCTCGCTTCCCTGGCAGCCAAGTAACTGACTTCGTGTGGTGCGTATGCTTCCCGATGCGCTCTCCTCTTTATCGTAATCGCTGCCTTTAGATCTTCTCGAAATATTACTAATAAATGATCTGCGCAGGCAACAAAGTCATGACATAGGATCGATTACCTGGGAAGAGGAAGCCAAATGATGGTTCATCGGCTGTGCTCATAGCTCATAGCATCACCAATGGATTCTTCTGGAAGGAATATATGAATATCAATGTGAAGACTTGGCGCTTCGGGTGTTAGGCGCTGTGTGAATCTGGTGAGCACGGAGAATTTTTGAGAAGAAAGAACTTTGAGGAAAACGGTATTGCTTACCGTAATCGTGAGCTAAAAATGAGAAATTTTGAGGTAGGATAGGTAAGCATGTTATTTGGTGTGAATGAGTAATATCACTTCCCTCTCAGCGGATTCGCTGAAATCCTTAAAACTTGAGCTACGTAAGCTATGAAGTTTTCCAGAGCAAAAAGTTCCTAACCCGATGGCATTAGTGGCGTAAGCCATGTTGTCGGAAAACAAATATGATAAGGCAACTGATATTGAACTACCCTCTCTAACACGCAGTATACGCTGTAGTTGGAAGCATCGAACCGATGTTTGAACGTGCAACGGCTTTCATTTGGTTATACGGCAGTTTTTTATTCGACATTTCAAATCCACGCAAATCCTAATCATCTGATCAAATAAGGATGAGATATCAACTAACCCTTATGGCGCAACACACATCCATTATTATTATTATTATTATATTATTATTATTATTATTATTATTATTATTATTATTATTATTATTATTATTATTATTATTATTATTATTATTATTATTATTATTATTATTATTATTATTATTATTATTATTATTATTATTATTATTATTATATTATTATTATTATTATTATTATTATTATTATTATTATTATTATTATTATTATTATTATTATTATTATTATTATTATTATTATTATTATTATTATTATTATTATTATTATTATTGAAGATAAAAAGAAAAAAAGTCTGAGTTGGAATGAAATGGTGCCCCGGTAGCGTAACTGGTAGCGCACTTGCCCGGAAAGCGAGAGGTGCGGGTTCTAGTCCCGCCTGGGGCGAAAGTTTTGTTCACAACCCAGCATTCTTGTGAAACATTCGCAAGGCGAACTGCGGCCAAAAACAGCAGTTAACAAACAAAAACAAGTCAAAAACTTATGAACAGGAAATTATTCCTCCTTTTCACACATAAGTTTATTAAGAAAACCAAACAAAACAACAAGAAATTATTAAACTAACAAACATTCAAACAGTCCTCTGCAACCGTGCCTTCACCTCAGACATTGTTGATTTTACAAGCAAATGCGCAGCAGCATTGCTTCGAGCTCGAATCGTACTCTGCTGTTTACCGACGTGCGCAGGGTTGCGCTTCAAAAGTTACATCATAACCTTTGAAAATAATCAGCAAAAAATCAAGGAGTCATGACCCGGATACTTTTCACTCAACCTAATATTTGGATTAGTAGCTGCATTTTAATGCGATTTGGTTTATGCCATCGAGAGGTCACCCAATAAAAAAGTCATTGTTTATGTCCTCCCATCAATTAGCCAACCCCAGGATGAGGGACCTTATTGGTCTGCATGTCTTGCGACCCAGCATTTGGGTAATTGAGTGGTCCGTGGCGACACTTGCTAACACACCACTTAAGCCATGTTCGATCGCAAAGTAGTAAAATCATGATTCTCGGCTGACAGCTGACGAGGGGTATAGCTCCTATGCCCACGGGGAAAAGATCGACCCCAAACCGCTGCGCATCTCGAGTTCTAGAGTAGGACCGCCATGACGTCTAGCTCTTATGATTAGAAAAAACGTGGCCACCCTCCAGCAAATGGCGGAAGGAATCCAACGAGCAATGTAATATTGCGTTCATTGATAATGGGTGACGGGGAAATTAATGTTAATTGTTGTTGCTCAACAAGCACCAATTCTACTCACGTGAGACTGCCCCCCCCCCATCCCACATATAATCAACCTAAACCGTTTCCGCTTCTGAGTAGATTATCTAGCTAAGAATAGCGTGAAATATGAAACGCAATACGTTGCATGCCACCTTCATAGATTTGGCAAAACACTTGACAATGACAACTTACAGAACACTCGACACTTTTTCTGTCAATTGTCATTTCCTAGCCAAAACGATTTTTTTCTATGTATGTCTGGGCGCGCCACGTTCCCGTTCCCATCCCATTGTCGTTGCATCATTGGGATGCATAGCTGATCTACACTTTCCTTTCAGGTTGACATAAGCCTTACAAGGGAGGTCTTTTCAGGGCAAGGTGCGCTTTTTGGAAACGGTTTAGTACATGTTGTAGGGACGCATGTATGGACCACAAAACCATGTTTCGTTTTCGCTGAACGGTTTTAGTAGTACCAAAAAAGTGGTGAATAATACTCTTGATGGTTCAATCCCCGCGGGACTAAATTTTGCAATCAAGGTTGGCGGCCACTTGTTGGCTTCAAAATGGTCCTGACGATGAATTTGATGACTGCTTTTCATATTGAGCCCGCGCAATTTGGCACCAACGTAGGCGCAACCAAATGCAAAATTTAGTCGCCACGAGGGATCGAACCCTTAACAGTACCTTATGCTTTTTTGGTACTGCTATAACCGTTCAGCGAAAATGAAACATGGTTTTGCGTTCCCTACATGCGTCCCTACAATATGCATAAAATCGTTTTGAAAAAGCGCATCTTGCCCTGAAAGACCTCTTCTGTTAGAGATAGAAGCTAGTCATTCCCTCCTAAGCAGATCTAGTACCATGGGCGATTTCTAATTCGCGATTTGATCCATGGACCGTCCCTGTACCCTGTCACCCTTGCCTGCACATAGCTTAAACGTCTAGTAACAACACAGGTATACTACTGAAGTGAACTTTATTGGTGGTCAAAAAGCATGATAAAGCAAATATTATCAGACGAAGAAAGAAAATACATATATGTGTAGATAACTATTTCGTTAACATTGGGATAGCTGCTAACTTCAAATAAAAAGCACACACACACATCCAAATGGCACCGCTGCCGTTGACGATCATGTTCTTCTGATCAGCTCGGACGCTGATCTGGCGGATACCAAATGGCCGTTACGCAACAAAACATGCTGCCGCTGCCCAAATCGATTAATAAAAGACGGGATAAAATCAACGGTAAATGGATAGAAGACGATAGAAGGCAGCAAAGAAAACAAGGCTACAGTCGGGGGGATCGGGGGATGCACGGGTAAATCAACGCTAAACCGATGAGATATCCAACGACACACAAAAAGCGGCGAGCGTATACTTACATCTATGCCAAAACACTGATGCGCACACACACATAGCTCAACCACCACTGCACCACAAAGATACACCTACTGAAGCGTAGATAGCACATGCACATCTATGAGGTGCCTGATACCACGGACACAACAATCCTCGGCGAAAACCGCTCTTCCGATACCCACACACCTCGCACAAGTCTATTTGCAGTCGTTCGAATCAAGAAAGGCATAGCGTGCAAGAAAAAAAAAGAAGACCGGATAAAAGATTAACATACAACAAACAAAAGCCGAAGAGAAAAGCACAGGGATATTTGTCGCTGGTAGGGCGAGTAAACAAAAATCTATACGTGGAGAGAGAGAAGGAATGATGCAACGGAGGCTCGGGGTACACTGACCCTCATTTTTATATTTATCACTCACACAGTGATTATTCTGTGAATGCAGCCGTAATCGGATAGTGAAAGTTATGGGATCCGTGAATTCACGGGCCAAATACGCGAAAGTTTTGACACGACACCACGTCGACGTCATCGTTGTCCTATGCCGTCGACTCTTGACGAACTTCGATCTTTTCGACGGTCATGTCCGGATTCATTTGAGTCGCTTCCATGATCGCTTGGCTTAGTTTTGAAATGAAAACAGAATAGCATGCTGGTTCTATAAGGTCGAAAAATCAAATAACTCGCCAAAGGAACTAGCTTATTAGTGTTGAACATAGAAGCCATAAAGGACAGAAGGATAAGAAATGTCGTATTTATTCGTGAGTGTGCCTCTTGAGCAAGGGGGGGGGTTGTTCTTCGCCGCCCTTCCCCCCCCCGCCCCCCCCTCCCTCCCCCCCTTGAAGCGAAAATGAAATCTCACTTATGTGGCGTAGCTTGACTAGTTGACTAGAAAGGGGAGTTTTGAAAAAATGAAAAAAGGATAGACGTCCGCAACCCCTATAACATCAGCGGCAAGCTTTGCGCCAAATTCAAAGCTTGCTGAATAATGTAAGAATTCCTATGTTAAACACCTTGATGAAAGCGCGCGCTTATGCATTTCCGATTACGAGGGACAAGCGCGATTTAGTAAACGCTTTTGGAAACCAGAAAAAAAAATAAAATAAAAACCTGGGATAAAAGAAGCACTACTCAACTGTTTTCAGAAAATATTGTTCACATTTATTTAGGTATGGCCTATAGATGAATAACCATCTAGGAGGAAGTTGTACACGGGAAGGAAGATAATTTACGTACTGTGTGACATTACACGCCCGTCGATAGTGGCCCCACAAACTGTTACTCTATAGAGCAGGCTGCTGTCGAGGAAACACACCAATGTACAACTTTCTGCCAGCAATAATTTAGCTAGTCAAAAATGTATAGGTTATCTTACTTTCTGGCTCCAGAAATAAGCAAAATTGCTCATAACATGCTCAGAAAAGTTGGAAACATGTGCTCACAGTGGGCCACTCTGCTTATCAGAAAATGCAAATTGATCTTATAGAAACATAAATGAGGTTTTTCATGTAATTATTCATTGCTTCCACTCAATTAGTTATAAGCTATTTCCACCCAAGCCCACAACAAAATTTCGATACACAAGCTAGTCCTTCGAGTTCGAGATGTTCTCCCTCAGACCACATAAGACACTGAAGGCACACCTCCTACACTGTTGAATGTAATCAAATTACATCCAACTGGTGAAGGTGGGAGCCTCAGAACTCCTACCGCTCTCGTTTCGAACCAAAGCTTGGGTGAAGCTTCCAGCCACAAAAGCAGAATGTAATAAAAGTGCAGCATTAAAAAATGTCCTAAACCCGTCGAAATTACAAGCAACCAAACCAACCGAAGGTCCCATTTCGCTCTTCTCAAACTCTGGTCATTCATTTCGCAAGAGGATTCTGTGCCTTGGGTGGGAGTTTTTGCAGACTCACCCATCACTGAGGGAAGTAAATCATTGCTATCAAAATAGTGTACTAACGGGCTTTGTTTCAATGTAAACACTCGAGGTTGAGAACTCCAGAACTAGTGAGTACTTAATTCCTACGTAAATCAGCGCTACAACATTCCTCGAAATCTCATCCAAGTCAAATATGTAAAAACCACTGAGAGAGTTTCCCCTTTCAACAAGGTAGCTTGCCACGAGTATGCAAAAGATTCAAAAATGTTGGACTCATCAACCCAGAGAACAAACTCACAGAGCACAAATGAAGAAACACAGCGAAGTTTAATCCCATTTTCCTGAGGACCTTTTGACTCCGTGTACAAATATACCCTAGCTAGTACTAACGAAGGCGGCCAGAAAAAATTGAAAGCAACAAAATTCACTATAGCATACCAAAAATCAAATAAGAAGTTAAATGAGTAAATCTTACAGCGTCGTGTCGATGCTCATCGGAATGGAATTGGGACACAGATGTCGTCGTAGAGTCTCAATGAATACATCGGCGTTCGATTTTGTAGTTAGGTCTCCACAGTTCGATTGCCGATCGTTAGGTTTTGCAGGACACAAACTCGCCGAGCGCCTAAAAAGAAGTAATCGAACGTATATCAGTTTTTTTTTCACATCTGGATATAATCACCGTTTTGGGTCATCAGAAGACGAGAAATTACCAAACTAGATTAATGCACTAAATTTTGTTGTTCAGTTCTATGTAACAATTACAGATAGAAGTCCCTCATTTATAATGCTTGCTATCGTGCGACCTTCGCCCCCACTTTTCCCACTGCACTGACGTCGAACGCAGGGCATTAATTGGTATTCTTCAATAACTGTCGATAGCCAGTCCACGTAACTCGCGAAAATTGGCTACCGCTCAAGGACAGGAAACTTCGTGAGTCGATATCCTGGTACTGCATTCGCAATTCCGAGTTTTTACACGCATTCATAAAGGATATGCCCTCCACAGTAATTGGAAGTGAATCCAAAACGAAATCGTGTTTGCTCTGTGTTTATGGATTCATCTATTAGAAAAAGAGGCTACGAGGAATTTTACCAAACGCCCATGCTTCACCATACCGGCGCACAAATGCTCGTATAATCGTTCGTGAGCAAAAATGCGACCAAAAAAGCAACGCTCAAGGGCCAGAGCACAGACGGTTGGAGAACGGTGACGGGAATCAAAGGAGTGGAGGCAATTTAGAGGTGGGGGGTGCGCATGTGACAAAAGAGCGTGCGAGATCGCTCTGGTCACAAACCGCAACCTAGCCGAGGGAACATCGACGGGACAGCACGGCGTTTTTTAAGGAAAACTGTTCAAGTAGTACGCAGACCACATAACCACAGCGGCGAGGGAACAAAAAAATACTCGTGCACTGCTTCCAATTACCTGTGCTACACAGAGAGCAGAAAACCTGAATCCCTTAACAAGAAGCGAGTCCTCCTACCACCTCTTTCTAAGATGCGCTGCCAATTCCACATGATTCGAAATTGGACCTTGCCCCCCCCCCAAGCTTTGTCAGATCCTCATTCTTGCGATTTTATTCGCATTTTTGTTCCAAAGGCAACGCCACCGCAAATTCACTCCTTATGATTTCAACCTACCTAACAATTGTACAAATAAAAAAAATTGTAAAAAAATTGTAATCATAACCATCCAAAATGGAGTGAAGTAAAGAACACAATCATTATCTCCACAGACCTCATTGTGCGGGTCGGTCTGGCCTGCATCGTACGCAACTGATCGCGAATGAGTTTCAACAACATGAGGTGAGCCAGCGGAGCCGTTTGTCGCCACTGCGGCAGCATTTAACGGGGTGGTCTCCTCACGTATGCGTTCGACAGTGACAATTCCCTTAACACGCTCATCGTCTGTCAATTATAAGCTCTTGATATCAAACTGAACAAACAAAAAACTTACCGGTTGCTCGTCCGTTGGAACGACATAGTTCTGGAAAGTCTGTTTTTGCACCGTATGTTTCACCTGCGAAGTTTTCAGCGTTCGGCTGAAATTTTGAAAACGATTTAGGATGAAACTGAAAAATGGGAACTCTTTGAACTTAATGAAAAGGCAAAAAGAATAGTGAGATAGGAATTCTCTCAAAACACACTTAACATTCCGCCACTTTTTTTCTGACACTTACGTTATCTTGTTGCCCTTCTCATCGTACTCAGTCTTAACTTCATCAGGTAAGCGGCTAGACTCTTGCCAGGTGGAAATCGTTGTATGCGGCTGTCCGCTCTCCTATATAACTTCTATTTATCAAAGGAAATGGAAAATGAACCGAAAAAAAAGAAACTGAAAAAAGTGACGTGTGCTGACAGGAAGCATTTGTTAAGCATTGCCGTGAGACGTTAGTGATATCACTGAAGCATTAGAATCGACAGAAAAGAAGTATAGGAGAAGAGACATCCCAGAAACTTCTTTTGAAGACACAGCTACTTGCAGCGAAGCAAGACGTAGATTCGTAGCAGTACTGCTTATCCTGATGAATGACAATTCGGAAATTCCATTCGACCCGAAAGAGCCAGTGCGAAGTGACGCAGCGCTACACCGAACGATGCACAACGCCACAAGACGAATGAAAATATCTTGCTGGGCCGAAAATTGCTGCTAGCTATGGCTAACGGCTGTCACTCGTCCACTGACATAAAAAAATGTTCGCATATAGGGAACACAAATAACACATACATAGAGCTTCCTTGATTTGCCGAAATCAACCATTCTCACTGTACTGTGGGAGGTATCTGTGACCTTCAATGGACGGTGGACAGCTATTCGCCCAGCATGACCGCAGCCAAACCAAAACAACTGTACACGAAAGCAAGAAGCAGAGCCAGTACACAATACTTGTCCACAAAATCGAGCACAGCTAGCCGTAGCATTGACGACCAGCGCAACTATCGGTCCTAATTTCTACTATACCTCGTAAGAGAGTGGCAATGGCGCCAATGCGCGCACAGTTACAGTGCGCTCCGCATGCTCCAGCCGCGGACTACGCAGATTCAGGCGTTCTGCTTGGGCCATCGTCGACGCCAACGACTAAAGCACGCCAACAGTAAACTACCGTGCTTCTCGTGTTTCGTTTTTCATTAACTACGACATTTCATCCCAACTAGTCCTTCATCGTCACGAAATATTAGTTTTGTTACATTTCAAATTCAGCCTTAATATGAGCTTTCCATTGAAAATATGTGTTCTGTGGTACGTAAAGCAACGGGGAGTGGGGGGGGGGGGTGCGTGGGACAGCAAGGCGGCAAAATACACTAGCGAAAAATGCAGTTTCCTGGAGAGGACGAAGCCTGCGGAGAGGATTTGCTAGGAGGATTAAGTATCGGTTTCTGCTTCTACTGCTACCCTACCCCTTCCGATCACCGCACACCGCTTTCAGTGGTGATGAAGGGGATGAAGGGGGAGAGACGTATTAGCAACGACAAAATCACCAACGTGGTGCTTGGGCCTCGTTTGGAGATTATGGGAGCCCGGCCCGCCCTCCCTGAAACACCTAGGCATACCCCATTTTAGCAGTAACGATAAGGCTAGGCACGAATGCATCCACCGGGCCAGATTTACTTGTGGATAACGCCAAATATACCTTCCCAATATCAAATGCTCTACACTACAACTGCTGGCAATTACGCAGCTTAGCAGCGGCCAAAGTGTCTTTGGCAATCAGTAAACCCCTGGTCTGAATAGCAGTTGCTCCTGAGCCAATCATGAATTAATTCTAGAAAGGGCAATCGATTTTCAAAATTAAAGATTCATGACTAAGCTGCCGCGTTGGACGTCCTACGATTGTAGCGCCTAAGAAGTTGCCAGGCAATCCTTTTGTTATCGTGAATTCATAAGCGAGCAGGGCTACGAAACATGATCGAGTTTTTAACAACAGTCTAAAACGCAATCGTGGAAATGAAACTATCTATGACATTGGAAGCAGTACACTGCGACGCATAATTATAGTTCCACCTACAAATTTCCCAAAAACTTGAATCTGGGGATGTTTTTGGAAAAGGCTCTACAGATAAATTGTGACACATATAAACGCGAATCTGAATATTAACACGGAAATCCAGTTTGAGAAAGCAACAATTTTTTATCCTTATTTTTTCGAAAATATCCGCTTTAGCTTCTCCGCTGCATTTTGCTTTTACCCAATCAAAATTTGGAATTATTATCCATTCAAGTTCCTTAGCTTATAGCAAAGGCAAAACCGCTGTCACACTTCCGTAAAAGGGAAATCCTAGCAAAAGAGACGCAGGAATTGTCAAAGTGTCAGCTCCGCTGGAATTTGTCGGGGTGACTTCATAACGAACAAATTTCTCAAGGATGCTACAGGATATGACTGGGAGGAACCCTGATTACTATCCGACTGAGATAAGCGCCGTATCGTGAGAAAATGATATCCAGCCGGGTACTGAAATTGTAGGTGGAACTATAATTATGCGTCGCAGTGTATTTGAGCAATTTCTTAGGGTTACTTCGATACAACGTGGTCCACAGATGTTTTGTGAGTCTAACTGCTGACCATATGAGATGGGAATCTTTAATCCCCGAAGGCTAACAAAGTAATGCTATAATCAATTATGGCGCCACACCACAACTGAACGCTGTCATTTTCAATAAGCCGCTCATTAAACTCCTGGTCTTAAATATCTAACCAATTATTCAATAATTCATACTCCGCTTGGGTTCCTAACCCTGCTGAGTTTCAGCTTTTTCCACTGCCCACTAGTCGGTGTTCAGGACGGGCGCCCCTCACGGACACAGCCCTTACCTCTTTGCTACGCAAAACAATTACTGAACTCTGGTCGCGGTTTTAATCATTGCCGTCCTTAACGGCTATTGTCACAATGGCGGGGACCAGACAGGTTTTTGTGTTTTGCTCTCCACCTTTTCTAACTCATTTCCCCTCAAACCCTGCGTCATCACAACAGTTTGTAACACGCACATGTTGCAACAGAACAATGTGCAGCGGTTGCCGTCTCATAAACGTTACTGCTTACTGGCTATATATGGCTGGCGTCTGGTGTTCTGCTTGTGTGTTTGAATTCCAACCATTCCCTCAGAGGTTTACCCAACCCATACTGCACCGGGCAGGTGGCTGTGGTTTGATTTCAGGGTCATGACTATTTCTCTGCCTGTCCTATGAATAGCTTGTTAGGTGAATAGTTAGGGTGCTTGCTACCCCACTTCACATGAAGAACAATAAAG